TCTATAGCACCACTCCAAATATGCTCCAGGGTCAAGGATACAAGTAGTCCTGGGGTTATGATGGCAATTGAGACTGGGATTGTCATCACTAAGTGAAGCGGTCGTAAAGTATGTCACGGGACTGCATCGCTTAGCAACAACAATCCCAGCAGTCCCAGTTGCCAGTGTAATCCCAAGAAGGAGGTAAAAAAAGGGGAAGAAGGGGGAACCCCAGGGAAGGAGTGGGGGGGGGGTGCCACAGGGTGATGGGAGATGGTGGGGGAGGCCTTGGGAGGACCCATGGGGGGGTGCTGCAGGTGGGAGAAAAAGCGGCAGGAGTGACTTACTGAAGTGACTTGTGACCTACCTTGCTGGCTTCCCCATTGACTTTGCTTGTGGGAAGCTGGCAGGGAAGATCACAAACAGCGATCATGTGACCGTGGCTCGCTGTGATGGCCAGAACTTTGAGGATTGGTCGTATGTCCATTTTTTCAGCATCACCATAACTTTGAACAGTTGCTGAATGAATGGACATAAGCCAGAACTACCTGTCCTCCAGAGCAGATGAGAGGAATTCATAGGGAACAAGAGACAAAAGGGAATTGAATGTTTCTTTGCATGAGTGGAATTCTGCTTATATTATGTTGAATTTTATCCATGTTTTATATAATCCTTTCTGTTATATGCTGTTACCTTCAACTAAACCTTGGTTAATACTTAAATAAAGTTAAGGTGTGAATGCTGAATTCATTTCACTTCTAGCCTCTGTATTTATGCTTTGAATGGCAAAAATATCCAAGTTAAAAGCCTGCTTTTTAATATATAAAATAGTAGGGCAGTAGGATTACACTGAAGTTTTTTCAGCAAGAAATAGCTGACAGAGAGCAAATATATTAAATACAGGATTCAATTTTGTGCAGTAAATATGTTCAAGTTGAAACCGCTGCTTATCTTTAAAGCACACTGACAGTGGTCAAGTCAGTTTCTTCGGCCTCCCCTGTGAAGGTTAAGAGGGTATCAGTGGAAATGCAATTCGGGCTGTCATAGATCATTATGACTGCTGATACTTTACTTGGTAACCATACATCTTTTCCAAGGGTCCGCTAAAAGTGACAGTTCAAGAGCTGGATGGATCTTTCAACCACACGCTTCAAATAGAAGAAAACAGCCTTAAACATGACATACCCTGTCATTCAAAGAGCAGACGGTAGGGTTTATACCACCAATGGAATGTCCTTATGAAATGTATATCTGAAGTGACTGCCATATCTTGTTTTTAATTATGTTGATATTATTAAATGTGTTATATCAAAAATCTCAGAATTATGGCGGTGCTACATTGTCCACTATCAACATGGCAACGTGAAAACCCTAGCCTGCATGTGAGGGACTCATACCTTGACTCTTCCAAATACTAACATTGTTTTGCAGAATTGGTTAACACAGCATTGATGTCTCCCGTTTGATCTGGGTCTTCTGACATTGCTCCATCATAGATACAATCAACTCTGCCATGTAATGCAAAAACCTTAGTTGAAAGAAGGTGGTGGTCACTAGTATACACTTGTGTCTCACTTTCAGGGATAAAAAGGTTAAAAAAAAACAGTATTCTGGGTATCCAGACAGTATGAACAATTTGCAGCCCAATTAAAGCAATTGCAAGAAATGGCAGCTATACAAGGAGGTAGGCTCAAGAAAAAACAATTGCCACAGAAATAAGAATCAGCAAAAATATGTCAGGATGCTATCAATCAAAATATGTTTGATTGACAACCTAATCATAAGCTGTTCTGCTTTTGTAACCATGATTTAATTTTTTTTAAACAAAAGAAAAAGACAGAAATATGATTTCAGTATGCATCTCTTGCTGGTTTTTATATACAGCAATAAGAAGAAAAAAATTCCTTTGATGAATGGAGAGGAGGTGGACATGGATCTTTCTGCCATGGAGTAAGTAAATTTATGAAAGTCACAGGATTTTTTTAAATCTTCCACATACAGTATTTTCAAATATGTAACCCAATATTTGTCCAAATATCATAAAACAGGAAGTACTAATCATTTGTGCAGGAGACCTTTCCTTCCCCTGGTTCTGCATTCTTTCACCTCTGGACTGGAGGGAGTGTTCAAAGTACAGAACAGAGGCTTTGGGGATATTCTGTAGTTTGGAGGGCCAGGAACTGCTTTATAACAGTTTGCTTAATAGCTTATATAAGTAAACATTGAAGTGCTCGAAATATGTAGGAACTCCGATAAATTTTGTTAGGCTGCATGAAATAATTGTCTCTCACTAAACATCTTCCCATAATAACAGATTAGTGGCAGGTAACAGGCCTGTTCTTCCATTCCTTCTTACTTGGAGTATAAAGAGGTTGAAGCAGCCATGTGAAATATATTAAATTTATAACTTTCCTACTTTATAAAATGAATACTCTAAAAGTACTGTTTTGCAGAGAGAGAGAAATTGCAAAGTAATATTTTTAAAATCACAGTTTAGTGTTGTGCATAATCTGGCACTGCTTTTTATTAACTATATTTTGTATGACGCTGGAATTAGCAAGTTGTAATTAACAGTGAACGAAACAGCATTTTAAGTGGATTTTTAAATCATGATTTAAAAGGTAAGAGTCAAATTGTACCTTGTTAGTTCAGATGTCATGGCAATCTATGGGTACTGGAAAACAAGAATGTAAAGAAGAAATTTTCTTCTGAGAAAGAGGAAGAAAGATTTGTAAGTCATGAGATGTTTCTCAGTTGCCAGATCATAATACAGTGGTACCTCGGGTTACGAACGCCTCTGCTTACGAACTTTTCGGGTTACGACC